ATGCAGCCTCTGTGTGGGGCCCCAGCCTGGTTATAGTCCATCTACAGGAGGAAAAATGAGCTCCCAACATGGAGAGGACAGCCCTCCCTCCTGTTGCTATTGACAACATAACAACAGAAGGCCAGGATCTAGTGGGCCAACAAGAACTAAACACTGCTATTCACAACCAAGGCCCGGATAATCTCCTTCCACGGTGACCTGGGTTCTGCACAGTGACGATGAGTGTTACCAAACCCAGAGCTCGGAGGTGCAGGAGGCCGGTCCACAGCCACAGCCTCCCCCTTCTTCCCTGTCTCCTCTGCCTCTGGTTGGTTAGAAGGCGGTGGGGGTCACATGGGCTTGGAGTACCGATATCAGCATCCAGCCCACTGATGAGGGTGTCTCTTCTCAGCTGAACTCTCAAGTCATAGCTTTATTTCTTTCCTAAAGAGGGAGCAAGACCAGAGCCAGGGCACATGGAACAGCTCTGCAAGCATGGGTCTGCACCCCACACACTGATTAGCCCTTTACTATCCAGGTTTCCAGAGTCTCATCCATCCTAGAATTTCTGGCTTTAGGCTGAAGGAAACTTAGCCATCATCTGGTCCTGACCCTCTCAGGAGCAGAACAATCCCTGCTTGGGATTCAACCCCCACCCCAGGAGATGTATTTCCTAAACACTGGACTATCACAGGACAGGAAGCCATTCTGATCCAGTCTACTTGGTGGAGAACAAATGGATTCAGTCAACACATAGTACTTGGGGCCATGCTTAACCAGGACTGGGTACAGAGGCATCTGACAAGTGCAGACGTTGTCCCTCCCCTCCTGAAACTGACTAGTGGGGAAAACAGAAATGCATCAAGCAACTAAAGTGAAATGCTGTTTATCAAAAAGGGTGTGCATGGGGTGGTCAGAAAAGGCCTTTCCAAGGAAATGGCATTTATTTTTTTTTTTTTCCATTTATTTTTATTAGTTGGAGGCTAATTACTTTACATCATTGCAGTGGTTTTTGTCATACATTGAAATGAATTAGCCATGGATTTACATGTATTCCCCATCCCGGTCCCCCCTCCCACCTCCCTCTCCACCCGACGCCTGGTGCACTGGGAAGACCCAGAGGGATCGGGAGGAAATGGCATTTAAACAGACAGCAGGAGTATTTTTCTCATTCACCTCTTCACCCCAGGCCTAGTATTGAACTGGCACATGGTAGATACTCAGTAAATGTTTGCTGAATGAATGACCGAGGAAATGAACAAATGTCTACATGTTTCCTGAGAGTCTTTGGTTCCTAGCAGGACTGGGGGCTGAGTCTATTAATGTATCCGTTTGTAGAACAATCTAAGTGAACTTGGAGTTGTGAGTCTTCATGAGGTCTACTCATGTTATGGACGTGCTGTGTGCTGTCCATTCCGCTTTAGAGGTGAGTATGCTGGGGCATAGCTGGGGAAGATGATACCCCTGAGATTCCACAGAAATCTTCCGGACTCACCCCCTCCCCCGCAGATCACACCCTGGAGAACTCCATAAATGGGCTCATCAAAGCAGGAAGGCCAGCCCCTTGACAGGTGATTGGATTTAGATCTGAAAGCAGAGATGGGCTACAACTCCCTGCACCCAGATGTCCTAACCACAGACCAAAGCTCAAGAGGAGGCGACGGGAGACTAGCTCCACAGCCCTACCCTCTCTTTCTCAGAAGAGAGTGAAGGGTTCTTGGAAATTCCCATAAAGCATCCAGATGAGCAAATCCGGGGCTGGTTGCTGTCAGATTTCCCAGCAGGATTATGGGCAGACTGGCCAGCTGTGCCATCCCCCAGGTCTGTCTTAACTTCAAAGACTGGGTTCTCTGTCCCAGGAAAAGTGCACCCTACTGGAAAATGCCCTGAAACTCTCAAAACATGCCTGCATTCAAGTGTTACTCTTGGGCCTCCATGAACCTGTCTCTAACATACAACAGTAGGCATTCCCTTCCCTCTCCCTCTCTAGCAAACACCTCTCCAAGAAAAGAAACTGAACTAGTGACAATGTGCGCAGGCAGGGCCACCATGCACAGTTGCACAGGCTGTTCACTGCACAAAGCAGGGGCTGAAATCCAGCCCTCACTCTGCTTGCCAAGCTGTGCCCCCTAGCATGGCTACATCCACACAGGGGAAGGGGTGGCTTGTTCTAATTTGCAAATAGGTGCCATGTGGATGAGCAGTGACCCTGGATGGAGAGTCCAAAGAATTACATCTGAGGAAGGAAATAAGCCAATCCTAACCTTGTCATCACCTAAATAGTCTAACCAGGTGTTCCTCAACTGATTAGATATGCAAATAGGGCAGCCTTCTTAGAAGGTAATAGAATATGATGGATAAACCAGTAGGTCCAGTAAGGTTTTAGTTCTCTATGTCCTAAGTTCAGATGACAGAGAAAATGAACTATTGAGATGTACTAAAGGAGGATCAAATGTCTTCTTTCTGTTAAACTACTTTAAGGAGAGTAAAGATTTACAGTAAGTATAACCGTTCTGTGTTGAAAACACCAGAGTTTTGGAATCTTTCCCAGACACGGGGCTCTAGCTTCACATACCTTGAGCCTGTTGGTCAGGAAGTAGGCCCCTGAAAGATGAGGTAAAGCCGGCATTTTCTCAGGAAAATGACCCTCCCTGTGGAGGGCCAGGCTTCTCACCAGAGAATGCACTCCATACTGAGAAAGATTCCCTGACAGGACCGTCTGAAAGGTAGGCTAACACGATGTACCGCTTGGGAAAGGCACTGTGACCCCAGCAAACACTGGATGGACCCTGAGGACAGGGCGGTGATGTCCTTCGCTCGCCGCTCTACACTGCAGGCACATTTGGCCGAGGGTAATTCATACTCCTGGGCAGGTGCTACTGCCCCCTCTCAGAAATGCCTTCCAACATGGTCTCCTTTAGTAGCTGTCTACCTGCCCCATCTTCCTGGAGGTCGAAAAACAAACTATGGGCTGGGGACACTGACAGGAAAGATAAGAAAGGAGCAGAGCCTTCAAGACACAGCTCGCCTAGTGCTCCTGACGTGCCCACAGGCTGGAGCCTGAAGTGCAATCAAGGGATGGAACCAAAATGCTTCCTGAGGCTCTGGGGACCCCCCAACCTCAATTCCCTCCCCCGCCAGCTCCCAATACCCTATGGCACCTGGGCCAGGCAATTCCCTGCGAATGACCATGGGGGGATTAGTTGGGACAAGGTCTATCCCTGGCTTCAGGAAGAGGAGCCAAGGCTCCCAAGGCCATGTGAAACTCATAGCATGCCGGGGCAGTTCTGGGTGGTGGGACACATGTGAGCATCTCAGCCAGGAAGACCAAGTCAATGTCGTATGGGTCCTGCGTGATCTCCCAGGAAGCAGACGACTGGGACATCCAGGACCCTGGGCCATTTCATCCACAGGTGAGTCTCCCTCCTCTAGCCATCATCCCTGTTGATTTTTCTAAGTAAAAACCACTCCTGCTACCTCAGTCAGGACCTTGCAGATAACTGCACATCCACAGCCTACCCATGCCTTGAAGGAAGTGCATACAATAGGAGCCAACAATTCCTGAGTACCCACAGGCACCAGGCATGGAGCAGAACGCTCACTTTGCCAGCAGGATCTCATAGAATCCCCAGAAAAAGAATATCACTATTCTTTTACTGATGAGGAACTCGAGGTTCAGAGAAGTTAAGCAACTCACACAAGATCACACAGCCAATAAGAGATAAAGTTGGGACTCGAACTCAGATTGTGTGGCCTCAGTGCTCACACACGTCACCACCCTGAAGCACCAGAACTTCCAGGTCTCGTTGGAAGATTGAGGTATAATGAGGAGGCACTCTGAGCAAGCACCAAGTTCTACAGAAGCAGCCCTGCATCTCCACCATGGACCCTGGAGTCCATACAAGTCCACAGGTGAGCCTGGGGAGTCCTGCAGGCTCACACCCTTGTGCGGCTTGCTTCCATCAATGCAGCTGTAACCTCCCTGGCAGCCATGATATAAGACATCAGTGATCACATGTGACAGAGCAAAAGCCAAGCCACTAAGCACGTTGCGATGCTGTTTCAACTGTTATTCTCCAAGTTTATCCAGGGGAACAGCTTGACACATCTGCCAGTGTCAGGGAGGGCAGGAATGAAATAAGAGCCTACCTCAGGATGTCCACCACGGCATGGAAGAGACAAATGCACATGGAGCAGTGAGCAGGAATACAAGGTTTTTGTGCTGTGTGCCAAGCATATTGCAAAAGGAGAGGTGGCACTGGGAACAGTAAAGACTGATATTAGAGCCCCTTGGAGTGAATGAGTTACACAGTGCCTCTTCTCTAGCTTCCCTCTCCATCCAGCATATTGTTGTTGTTCAGTTTCTATGTCGTGTCTGACTCTTTTTGACCCCATGGACTGCAGCACACCAGGCTTCCCTGTCCTCCACCGTCTCCTGGAGTTGGCTCAAGTTCATGTCCGATGAGTCGGTGATGCTATCTAACCATCTAATCCTCTGTTGCCCTCTTCTCCTTTTGCCTTCCGTCTCTCCCAGCATCAAGGTCTTCTTCTATGAGTCGGCTCTTTGCGTCACGTGGCCAAAGTATTGGAGCTTCAGCTTCAGCATCAGTCCTTCCAGTGAATATTCAGGGTTAATTTCCTTTAGGATTTCCTTTAGGTTTGATCTCCTTGCTGTCCAAAGGACTCTCAAGAGTCTTCTTCAGTATCACAATTCGAAAGCATCAATTTTTCGCGCTCAGCCTCTTTTATGGTCTAACTCTCACATCCATACGTGACTACCGGAAAAATCATACCTTTGACTATATAGACCTTTGTTGGCAAAGTGATGTCTTGACTCTTTAATACACTGTCTAGGTTTGCCGTAGCTTTTCTTCCATGAAGCAAGCATCCTCTAATTTCCTGGCTGCAGTCACCATCTGCAGTGATTCAGTGCCCAAGAAAAGAAAATCTGTCACTGCTTCTACTTTTTCCCTTTCTATCTGCCATGAAGTGATGGGACTGGATGTCATGATCTTAGTTTTTTAAACGTTGAGTTTTAAACCAGCTTTTTCACTCTTCAGCATTTTATCCCCATTCAATTACCAATCGCTAAGGAACAGACTACCCTCAAACTCAGCAACTTAAAATAATTTATTACTATCCCTTACACCCCTGCTGATTGAGCTCAGCTGGCTGGCTCTCACTCAGAATCTCTTGCAGTTAGTCAAATGGTGGCTCCTGTTAGAGTCATCTGAAGGCTCTACTGAGCTAGACAGCCACGCGATCCTCACTCACAAGCTGGCAGTGATGTGAATGCTGGTGGAGAGCTCAGCTAGGGTTCTTGACAAGAGCACCTACCTCTGGCCTTTCTGTGTAGCCTGGACTTCTTACAGGATGGTGACTGGTTTCTAGAGGAAGTGTGTCAGGAGTGAAGGTTCTAAGACACGTAGACAGAGATCACAAGGTTCTCATGACCAAGTCTTAACAGTCCAGGATGTCACTCCCACCATATTCTTTCAGTCAAGCAAGTCTCTATGGGCCACCCAGATTCAAGAGGTGAGAAGCAGCATACCAACACCAGCAGGAAAATGGTTGAGGGCTGCCATTTTGGAAACTGTCTACCACGGCATCCTGTAGATAAAGATAAAATTCTTTTATTGAGCTGGGAGAGGGAGAGGAAATGAGCTCTGGGCTAAGGAAGTCGAGAGGAAAGAGGCTTTATCCCTGTGTCCAGAAGAAGGTACTTGGCCAAGTCCCTCCCCACACTGTTCTCTTACCTCACATCCCAAGGTACATTCTTAGACTGTCCTAGACTCAGAACATGAAGGAGAGTGGAAAAAAACCACTTACATCATCCTAACTAACCAGCCTTCATCTGAGAATGAGTCTGCTACGTGACTCTTGCCACAAAACTGTTTTATCTGCCCTTGCTGCAGCATGGCCTTTAAGGCACACGATCTGGTGCCAGTGACATCCCAGCGGTGGTTGCCCTGGAGACCCAGAGGTCAAGGATGATGAGGGAGTGTGTTGCCAAGATGACCTCACATAGAAATCTCTTTGCTTTCTTGTGACCACCTGGTAACTGAGCTACAAAGGAAACAGAAAAAGCCATAAATTCCTCAGATGCGTGTTCACAGGCAGAGCAAAGAGAGCTAAAGCAGAATTCCAGCACAGAAGTTATGAGACACCACATTGATGCCTTCCATTCCCCCTGACTTACTCTGATGGGGCCTCCATCTAACCTCAGTTATTTTGAAGGCTCTGGGATCACCTGGTGCCTTTCCCATTCATCTGGATAATTCAAGCATAATAACTCACAGTTCTAAGTCTGCAGTTAGCATCCTGCAGCCTCTGCCTGACACTCCCCGATTACTGGGGTGGGGGGAAGGGAGGAAACCATTGCCGGTACACAGCAGGGTGGGGTATTTTGTGCACCCATCCCCTACTAGGTCATTCCTAGTCTATCTTAGCTGGGAGAGTTCTTCAATAACCTTCCTCTCAAGCAACAAAATATTTAATAATTACCATCTTTCTTCCTCTCCTCTCTATCTCAGAAACTCCAGTGCATTGATTGCATGAATTATATTTCTTGGTTTGTGACCCAGTCTTATCTTTGTACCATGCACACTCCACTTCTACTTAGTTATTTTAAAACTATATTTATATATATAAACATGGGCCAGCCCACAACCCCAAACAAAAGCCAGGGTCTTGACAATAACCACCATATCTTTCAAATCCCAAGTGACAGTAAACAGGAAAATAAGACAGCCAGTCACCCAGCATACACAAGACAGAAGAACTAGGCCTTTAAAAAGGTTTTGCTAGCGCCTGAAGAAGGCGTCTTTTCGAAATGCCTCGATTTTTACATGGCCCAAGCGTCCCATTAAATCCGGTCATTTAAAATCTGGGTTCCCAATTGGTATATCATTTTATTTTAATGATCTGTGCTTCCTATAGAAACACGGAAAACGACTATTTCTTTTTTCAATTAAACGTGTAACGGCTTGCAGATGAAAGCCAGCTTCTTTCTCCGCCGACCCCGGGGAGCGGCCCGGGAAGGGGTTAACGAAGGCTCCGCGGACCGGGGTGGAAAACTCTCGGTAACCCCAGCGCGGCCGGTTCGCTGGGCGCATGCGCTGGGGCAGCACTCTGCGCGCCCGCCCGCAGCTCCCCGCGCCAGGCTGCTTGGTACACAAAGACCTGCTTTGTTCCCTCGGCTCTGTTTTAAATATCTGACGGTTATTCCCCCCATCCCTGCGCCAAATCCCTGGCCTGGCTGCAGGCGCGGCACAAGGGCGCATTGTGGGGCCGAGCGAGGGGCGAAGGGGGCTGGGGGCGGCTGCCCCGTTGGGGACGCTCGTGTTTCGCCAAGTTGACGCAGCCTTTTGGGTCACCTGGGTTACGTCGTGGGGATGGGTGAAGAGGAAGGGACGGGAGTGGGGGGTGTCTCATCGTCTTTTTTTTTTTCCTGCCCCAGACGTATAAAGATCGGAACCTGGGGACCCTGGGAATGAGCAGAATCCAAAGTTTCCAACGCAGGCCCGGGGAGGTGGTGCTGAGGTTTAAGCCGAACCACCGGGGTGGCTGGCCGGCCCTGCCCCAGCCCCGGGGCTGCCAGGAGGGCCACGAACCCGCGAAGCCAGACGCAGGGTTTCTTATCTCTCCATCGCTGTATATTTAGAAAGTGCCGATCACTCAGACACTTTGAAAAGCGTGGCATTCCAGCGCAAACCAACCCGAACGAGGGGAGGGGGAGGAAGTGGGGGGAGTGATCCCTTTATCCTCTAAGCTGGGGGCCCAAGAGGCGTCCAGAAAAGGCACCACCCTGGTCTTTCTGCACCCACAGCTTTCAGGCCCTCGAGGGGCCCCGCTCAGTGTTAGGAATAGGCCCCTCGGGGAAATCATACCCGCCCCGGAGAGGCTTCTCCCTCCCACGGGCAGGTAGTGAAGGCTGGGATGGGGTTCAAACAAAAGCAGGCTTTCAGCTCGCTGGCTAGCTGGCCCTAGCCCACCCCCGCCCCTCCCTTGTCTTGCTGGCGTTCCCTGCAGACTCCCAGGTAGTTTTTCTTCCCAGCTCAGGTGTTTGTTTACCTGCTGAGAAGGAGGAGTTCTTGTACTCTGGGGAGGTTTGCAAAACGCCAGTCAAAAACCCGCTTCTCTTTTCCATTTTCTTCTTCTAATGACAGGGAAAACATTGCCTTTCAGACCAGGTTTTGGAAACTTAAAGCAAGACACAAAATGTGGGCAATTCTGAAAAGTGAGCTTGGTCTTAAGTTTATGACCAAAGTCCCCAAGACCCCTCAGAGTCTGGGAGGGAAATTGTGACCCTTCCACCCAGGGCAGGTGAAGGAGGAGGAACTGGCTCAGAGGATTTGATTCAGAAGCAAAGGGCGCTGTGATTTTGATATGGGTGTTCTAGGCCTGACTGAGAGCCCCCCAAGCCCCCTCATGGTTTGTTACGAATTTCAGGGTGGGTCTTACATTGCCTTGGTCACATTTTTCAGCTGTGAAGACCAGAAATGTTTCCTGAGATTTATTTTTTTAGAATCATGCTTTATAATTTTCACATTTCACATGTTATCTCAGTTCACCAATACTCTGAGTGTTAGAGCTCATACAAACCACCCTCTTACTTTGCAAATGAGAGAAGTTGTCCAGAGCCACTCAGAAAGACAAGGCAGAGGCCTGGAGGCCAAGTCTCTTAGCGGCATCACTGGATTCCTTCCCCTCTGAGGTGCTAGATAGTCGTGGGCTAAAAGACCAAGGTTTCACCTACCACTTCCTCGGAGAGTCCTTTCCAAATCAAGTATTCTAATTCAAAGGTAAGAAGCTTTGAGAAAAGATTCTTGAGTGTCAGGCAGCTCTGATAAGTGTCTAGGACTCACTCTTCAGTGTATCCCATAGAACTGCTGCTGAGTTTGCAAGACCACACTAGCTTCAAGCCTAGAGATGTAAGTCATGCTCTGCTGCCAGGGTTGCTAAGTGGCAGAGAAAGCTTGGGCGCCTGTTTCCAGGCACTCTTCGGTCTGCTGAGGAATGTCTTCAAGCAACACGGAGTATCCTTTCACCACTCTACTTGCCAGTAAGCCCCATATCTCTGGAGGTGATAGCAGCCCCCCACCGCCAGCAGTCCAGCCTGCCATGAGTTGTATGGAAAAGTGTTACCTAGAACTTGACTCCTGGTGATGAGTGTATAGAATCTCTCCAGCTGTAAAATAGGATAGGGGTCCCTACAGTCCCCTTCCGCTCACACACCTGAAGCCTCGGAGATGTTAGAATGTTTACTGGAGCATATCTGTGACATCATACAAACTGCTTGGAGAAAAACCATCACCAGCCTCACTGCATGGCAGTGCTTGCCTTTTGGGGCATGAGGTGGCAGGATTTATATCCCCACTGAGCTTCAGAGGGTGGGGTCATTCCAGATGACTCTTAGTTTGTATCTCTGACTTTGGTACAGCCCTCTTTTTCTGTACATTCAACATTGGCCCATACCACCCCAGCCCTCACCCCACACCCTCCCCCTTGAGCTAAATGTTGGTTTCAAGCTTTCCCAGGTTGGCTGTTGAACTAACATTTCAAGCCATCCCGTGGAAACACAGCCTGGCAGCCAAGAGTTGAGTTTCAGCAGTGTCACCTTTTGACCATTCAGCAATGTTTGTGCACGTATTTAAATATTTTATTGCATTTCGACCTTACTATTTTATAAGAATGAGTGGAAAATGGAAAAATGAAGTGCTGATGCTAGTGATAAGAAGTGCAGGTCTCATAAACCTAATATAATTGAGACAAAGATGGAAATCATTAGGCATGCCGAACATGAGGAATATTTAGCTTCAATCAACTGCACACTGGATGTGAGCCAGTCAACTGTGTGTTCAATCGTGAAGGAAAAGAATAAAAGATTATATATGAAATTCTGAACATACAAGGTCAAAGATTCTATCTAAAGGTGGTGTGTTTCAGGATTTACCATATTTCTTCAATTCTAAACCTGTGCTGATTTCATAACAGATTTCCTGAGCTGGGGTGAGGGAGATGCCGTGAGACTGGAAATCCAGAAAATAGAGTGATAATATTTTCTAACTTCCTGGGAACAGAACCTTCCTTTAGTATGTGCAGGTCGGCTGCTTGCCTCTTGCATGTGAGACCAGTGGACTCTCAGAAAAGCGTTAGGTATGAAAGGAGATGGTGCCCTATGGACACGGTCACCATGGGGGTCACCCCAGCACCAAAGTCAGGAACAGGCTTTGAGTGGATGTGCCAGAAGGGAACTCAACAGAGGCCCTTGTGCCAGGAAGCTTTCTCAGCCCGCTTGTGCCTGACTGTCAGAAAATCAGGAGAGTTGAAGGCAAAGACTGTGGGGCTGGCCTCTTCTTTGGGCACAGGCTGCCATCACAGTCCTGTTCCAGCTGTCTCTGGGGTGGGTGGGGGGGCACGTTCCCCTCTCCGCAGTTGCACAGACGTGCCCTCTGCCTGGATTAGCTGTCCTTCCTCTTGGGCTGCCTGGCTGACTCCTGGCTCTTCCTCGCAGACTCAGCTCACGCTCCTGCCCGCTCACTGCGTGCTCTCTGTCCTCCCTCTTGCCGCAGTGTGTCACCATCACTGGCTTGCCTGGGGGCGCTCTGAGGGCAAGGAGAGCCCTCAACCTCAGCATGCAGGCTCAGCGGCCCTCAGGAAGTGTCTGCTAAGTGACCAAGGGACTGAAGGACCAGTAGACCCTTGGGAAGACCTCTTTGGCACCAGACTGTTGGATGCTTGCAAGGGCGACCTAGTGCTGTCGTTTGAACTCCTTGAAAGTGAAAGTGTTAGTCACTCAGTTGTGTCTGACTCTTTGCGACCCCATGGACTGTAACCCACTAGGCTCCTCTGTCCCTGGAATTCTCCAGGCAAGAGTACTAGAGTGGGTTGCCATTCCTTTCTCCAGGGGATCTTCCTGACTCAGGGATTGAACCCTGGTCTCTTGCATTGCAGGCAGATTCTTTACTGTCTGAACCACTAGGAAAGCCCCTTGAATGCCTTAAACTCTTAAAAAAAAAAAAAAAAAAAACTTTCTTCTCCTCCAGATGCAAACCATTTGTCTGTAAATTCCTCTCCTTTTGCCACAAGTTTCCCTCATCGGTGGACCTTCTTGTTCACACTAGCGTCTTCAGTCTCAGCCCTGAACTGCTGCCCCTCCCCTCCCCCACCACACCATGGTTCTTTACAAATACTTTTATTAATAAATCCACTGATTTTTCCTCCAACCATAGACCTCTTGCTGAATTCTTACCACTTTCCTCAGGCAAAAACAACCCAGAAATGCTGTCTGATCCAAAGCATTTCCCAGGGAGGGCAGCCAAGTGAGTGCAAGAACCTCTCGGCCGTCTGGGACTGTGATGTGATGTCTGAACAGCCTCTTTAGACACACTCCAGCCTTTTCCAGCGATGCCATGCAGACGGGGTCGCTCCGTGTCAGCCCCTCGCAGTTGTCGGGGGTTCTGGGGGTAGGTAGGAGAGCACCCAGTCAAGGAACTTAGCTGACTGGGCCTCAGTTAGGGTCACTGGGTCAGTCGTACATGAAAAGGGAATCAGAACTCTGGTTTGCAGCCCTCCATCCACTGACTCTTTCTTGGCCTAACACACTCTGCCCTGCTGCCCTTGGCTGTCACAGTGGGAAGCAACTGCCTGAAAAGCCTGAGTAGGGGCAGCTCAGAGAAGCCCACCACTACCCCACCTCCCACCCCACCCAGCATGGTGCCCAGGAGCCGCCTTGACCAGCTGGGTAAGATGCATTCAGCACTGGTCAGTCCCCCTTACTCTCCCAGTCCTCTGGAGAGCCAGCTCTCTGGGATGGAGCCCAGAGTCCACTTGATAGAAAGCTGATTCTTTTCCTGTGGGGCAAACAGCTCTGATCAGGACACGTCAGCCAGGGGGCAACTTGGCAGAGCTACAGTGCCAAGGCCCGATGCATCCTTTCTCTGTGTTTCCCAAATCCAGGCAGGAAAGCATGCCACCCTACCCCCAGCTCCTGGCTCCCCCCACCAGCATTTGCATCCCCCCCAGTGCTATATAAAAGCAACCAGTCGCCGGGGCCCAGCCAGGACAAGGCTGTGATTCAGCCAGGCTCCTGTGACATCCCAGCCGTGAGAGTGCAGCTGGGGCAGTTTATGAACAGCGCGAGTCCCAGGGGGAAGTCGGCCCTGTCCTCTAGCCCACAAACGTCTATTGTTCACTTTCTTGTTTTTCTCCCAATGTTGAGATGTGCTCAGAGCACAGAAAAGCCCCAGACCAAGGCCATCAGCCAGGGCCAGCTTGAGGCTGGAACTCTGGGGGCCTCCTCTTCCCCTCCCCAACGTTGTTCCCACCTCCCCCTTAGATGTGACCCTGCTGGGCCTGGGGGGTGAGAGGGTGGCCTCTTCTCAGCAGAGGCTCTTTGGACCACAGAGGGCTTGGGCTGTTCCACTGAGCAAGGTGTGAGGCCACGGCGCAGGCTCACCTGGTTGGCAGCTAGGCGCTACTGCCCATGTTACCCGGGGTGGGCCGCAACGTGGACGAGAAAAAGTGCCTTTAGGTTGCTTGTTGCTGACCACAGCAGTGTGATGAGAACACTCGTGTGCTGGGTCCTGCCTGCCTCAACGATTTGGGCTCCAAGCATCAGCCTCTTTGTGTTTGACTTCCAGCTCCAGCTCATACTAGCTGTGCAATCTTGAGCAAGTGGCTTAGCCTCTCTGAACCTCAGTTTCCTCCTTGGCAAAATGACGCGTCCCTCTTAGAGGTTTTTTTTGGCTTTAATGTGACAATCAAGGGAGACACCTGACACAGCCCTCTGTCAATACTCGTTATTCTTTGCATAATTCTTCTTCTTCTTGTCTGTGACTGCTCTCACACCATCCTGAAACCACCCCCTCTCTGCTTTGAGGGCCCGCTTTTGTACCTAAACTGAATGCCTTTGACAGTCTTCAGTTGGGGGTCAGAGAACAGCTGTGCGGGCCGGCAGTGCCAGAGGAATGAAGGATGAGGTGCCTTGTGACGTAGGGGAGGAGAGAACGTGCTCAAAAGCCCGTAGCCTCCGCCTCGCCCGCCCCTCAGCCCCAGATCCCTTTCTCATATTACCTGCCCTCCCCCATCACCGTTGGTTCTCAGCCCCGCCGGGCCACGTGGCCCGTTCCAGCAGGCCCACCAAAAGCTCATCCCTGCCAGGAAAGCCCCTCTTGTGCCACCTGGGCAGCTAGCAATAGCCAGTGTGGGGACGGGGAGGTGCACAGAGGTGGAGTCTGTGGAAATTTTGCCTAATCGAGAGGGTGTGAGGATTCAGATCCCCAACGCCAACCCTGCATAAGCCTGGGATGCTTAGTGTGGTCCAGAGATTGGGAGCTCATTTACAACAGCCCAAGGGACTCAATGGACATGAGGTTGAGCAAGCTCGGGGAGTTGGTGATGGACAGGGAAGCCTGGCATGCTGCAGTCCATGGGGTCGCAAAGAGTCAGACTCGACTAAGCGACTGAACCAAAAGGCTTTGTTGTGAAGGGGGGGATGGACAAGTATGGGGGAGAGGGGAGCCCAGGAAGGCAAGAGAAAGTTCTGAGTGCTAGTCCTCCCTGCCTGGGATCAGTCAGTTCCCATCCCTACTGGCGGCTTTGGGGCTTTTTCCTTCTCAAAGCAGAAAAGAGAAGATCCCCCTTTGGATTCATTAATCCTTTTGAGAATAAGGCCCTGGTAGCCTCCTGACAGGGCCATATGGTTTCCTTATCTTCCTTATCGCCCAGCACTCACCTTCCATTCGGAGTGTTTATCCCAAGATAAAGATCAGATTCCACTTAGGATGATTGAATGGGAGCCTCCTCTGGGTATTTCCCCCACAATTTCAAATGAATGGACCATCCAACCCAACAATAAATGAGCCAGACCAGGCTCTGATCATGGATAGGACACCCCCACACACTCCCAGGCCCCCTCCTTAGATCCCCCAAATCCTCTTCCCTCTCTTCCACCTGAGCAGCTCCACTTTTACCTGCTCTGTATAGTGGAGTTCCCATTGGACAAAGTGTAACTGCCTTAAATGATGCTTTAAAACAAGCATTTTTTAGAATTTAACTTGTGAGGTATTTCACTTTCACTTTTTGATATTTAGTCTTCAAAATCTAGTGTGTGTTTGATGTTTATATCATATGTCGATTCGGACTAAGCACATTCCAAGTGTTCTGTTGGCCCAGTGGCTAGTGGCTCTTGTCTGGGACTGGGGAGGTCTAGAGAGACTGCACGAAGACAGCTGGAGCCAGGAAAGACTGTCATGGG